GTCTGGGGCCTCCGCTTCAGAGGGCAGGCTGATTTCCAGTGGTCACCTTTGCATTCAGGGCATGGCCCAGGGGCCTTCTTAGGGCAGTTCCTCTTGAGGTGGCCTGGCTTTTAACAGTGGTAGCAGATGAATGTAGTCATCGAGTTCTTCTTGGGGCCCTGAGAATCAGACTTAGGGGTCTGTTTCTCTTAGTGCTGCAGCAAAAGCAGCTGTTTTTTCTCAGTCTCTTTGTTTTCTCTCCTTGGCCTCCTCCTTGTCCCAGCTATAGAATACTGAGGAGGCAATTCTTACTAACATCTCAAGTGAGCCATCTGGGGCGAAAGCCATTTTTTATAGCCTTTTCCCTCCAGCCTCCCAGCACATTGGGACCCCACAACCAGTTAGTGTCCTGTCCCCAACTGTTAGCACAGGCAGCAGGAATCTTGGTGCAGACCTCTCCAGAGCTCCATGCACTCCTCCACCACAGCCTGTACTGTCAGGGGAAGAATGGCTTCCAGGGAGTCTCCCCAGGTATTGTGCAAGGTCCTCCTGGTTTCCAGCTTCTGAACGGCTCTTGTGAGCCCAGTCAACTAGACCTGTGAGTCTTTGGGCATAGTCTGTATTCTCGTGTTCTCTGAGTCCTTGCTCAGCAGCTGCTCCTCTGCTGACTCTGGACCTTTCTGGTTCTCAACGGCAGGGGCAAGAGCTACCTGTTGTGTGAGTGTATTCCAAGGGGTTTCTCCATGTCAGGATGGTTCACACATGTCCCTGGCCGGGCCTCCGCGGCTGGCATGTGGTGGGCCAACTGTGTCATTGCTTCTCTGTGCCATGATAGTTTTCAACCACGTGGTGATGGCTGGTTTTAGGGCCAGCATGCGCTAGTGCGCGCCACCACACAACTTCCTGAGCACCAGCTGCCTGCCTCCCAGGTGCCTGCACCTCTAGGGTCCAGCCCAAAGGCAGGCACTCCCTGCCACGTGGCTTCCTGAACACAGGTGGCCCCTCATCACTTCTGACCTTGGGTCACAGGGCCCTGTTCTTATCCCTCAGGTTCTGCTCCGCAGAGATTTAGGTTTTTCCTGGATCAGTTTAGATCACATCCTAGGGTACTACACCTGCATTCTGGAAAACATCTTGAGCAGTTTTTAGGAACAGCAGTGCTGGTGTTTTATGGTTCAGTTTCAAAAGTGCCTGTGTGTTTTAAAAAGAAAAAGATGTAAAAATGACATTTGGCTAGTGGCTGTCTGTGTTTCTGCATTGTTTTGGGTTTTTGTTTGTCCTGTAGAACATTCTTAGACATGCATCACCCAGGGATCTTATTAAAGCACCTGATGCGGCAGGTGCAGGGTGGAGGTGGTAGTTTAACAGGACCCAGGCGATGCTCGTGTGGCTGGTCTGTGGACTGCACTTTGAGTCAAGAGACTGTAGAATGACCTGTGTCCTGGAATTCTGCTGATTGCATCCTGTAGGGGTGATTTTGACATTCTTGTACATGGTGTGATCAAAACAGTGAATGTTGAAACAAAAAAATTTATTATAGCAAAAGACAGATCACCATAAACACCCCTCAAAATACTCTGCCTCAGAGAACACCCTTATCCCATCATTCTTACCACTTTCTGCAGTAGTTAACAGAAATTTCTGTCAAACAAAAACATGGTGGTATGTTCATGTCCACCTTATTCCCTGGACCTGGCATCGTGAGACTTGTGGCTCTCACTCAGAGCTGAAATGACCAGGAAAGGTAAACTTTTTGAATCAGTTCAGGACATCAACGTGGCCACAAAAGCGCAACTGAAGAAATGCATGAAAGAGGACT